CTTCCAGTTTCCGGTGCATGGACATGCACACGCATGTACATGTGTTCCTGTTTGGGCACTCAGTGCCGAAAAGGTTTGCCATCACTGGTCTAGAAGATCCCAGCCAGCCCAATCCTAACTGGGGATCCCAACACCATCATCACTGTCCTTACACCGCCTCTTACAGATTCTGTCTTTTGTAAATTAGGGTGTCAGCCTCTGCTTCGCTTACTTGCTATCGGCTGACATAGAAACGGGGACGGAGGGGGCATGGCGTTTGGGATGGGAATAAATGGTACAGGAGGGGATATGGAAAAGGGAGTTTTCTTCTCACCATCTTCTGCGCATGCTGGTAGCTGGTGTTTAGACCTGCTCAAGGCCAACCGTCCTGCATACCAACATGATGATGCCTTTTGGAGATGCAACCCACATGACACCTAAGGGAGTTGCAGATTGGACACTGGGGTGGGGGGGGTCATTGGAGGGAGGGGGCTGGGTTATCATTTGACATGAACTTGTTCGCGCCTTTCTGGCTCAGATCTTGCTTTACTTTTGCTGCTATCTTTTCATAACCAGTAAAAGGATTTTGATTCCACGAACAATGGAGTTGGGAGTTTTCTTTGTTGGTTATTGATGGAGGCACGCCGGAAACTGAAAGCCTTCTCCTGCCATCCTATGACAAGCCGTGGACTGTTCCAAAGTCATCCAATGCAGCTGGGGACCATTACCGAAATAATTAGTTTGAATGTGATTGGTCACTCACTGATAACTAGGGGGGGACGGGACACCCAAGGAGTATAGTTAACTGCTTGGTTTGGGGACAAAATGCTAGATTTGGCTTTGCTACACTGCAATAATTTGGCTTTAGTAAACTATACTTTCTTTAGCTATGAGTCTAGGAGTCATTCTTTATTTTATGTTATTTATTTTGTCTAGCATGTATAACAGATAAAAGTATAAACATGATTATGAATACAGGAAATGGATATGAATAAGTGGGGATAATAGGACAGGGATGGTAGGCAGGTTAGTGCACTTATGCATGCCCCTTACAGACCTCCTAGGAATGGGGTGAGGTCGACAGTAGACAGTCTTAGGTTAAAGTTTTGGAGGTTTGGGGAAGAAACCACAGTGTCAGGTAGAGCATTCCAGGCGTTGACCGCTCTGTTGCTGAAGTCGTATTTTCTGCAATCAAGTTTCGAGCGGTTTACCTTTAGTTTGTATCTATTGTGTGCTTGTGTATTGGTGCTGAAGTAGTCATTGACAGGTAGGACATCGTAGCAGATAATTTTGTGTACTACGCTCAGATCAGACTGAAGGCGGCGTAGTTCTAAATTGTCTAAACCCAAAACTTCAAGCCTGGTGGCATAAGGGATTCAGAGGCGCGGAGGACTCTTCTCGTGAAATGTCCCTGAACTCTCTCAATTGTAATAATGTCTGATATGCAGCGCGGGTTCCAGGCAGATGAGCTGAATTTGAGAATAGATCTAGCAAATGTTTTATATGCCCTAGTTTGCAATACAATATTACTGGAGAAGCAGCTTCGCAAGATTAGATTAACAGCTCTTAATGCCTTGTTGGCAATGCTAACGAAAGAAGGAAGGAAAGCTTTTCCTGATGAGGAAAAATCACAGTCTCCCATACCACATA